AGGAACTTCAATCGAAACGGAGGGTTAACCAGTTGAAGTTAATGGCTGAGCCATCCGACGACGGTGGTCGTCGACATCAATTGTCGTCATTCGAGAGCTCGGTCTCTACTACTGGTTCATTTGAATCCCTCACTCAGGGGGCATCGCCTAAGTTCAGTGGACAGCGGGAGGAGTTGATGGAAATTGAATGCTTATCTTCAGGCAATGAAGTGGTCGAACGTTTGCCCAATGATGTGTCCGAAAGATCAATCGTTCGCAGCCTTTTCGGTGGGACACTCTCCCGTCGTACCATCTGCTCTCAGTGTAACCACGTTTCAAGTGCCGAGCTGGAGGACTTCATTTGCCTCTTTCTTCCCATTGACACCTCTGCGTCCTTCTCTTCGGATTGCGACTCCACTGTGAGTGATTTGTCGGAAGTTAACCTTCTGGTTTCTCTTGTTGGCAGAAGCAGCAGCGGCAGCAACTGCCAACACCCAACTACAACAGAGGCGTTAAACCATGCCTAAGAGCGTTTCCAATGTTATTCAGCGTGAAGCACATAATTTGGACTATCAAAGCCCCGGCGTATTTAGCGGGCATTCCGCCGGTGACGATAGCGTATGTGACCCCGCCTAATCCTTATGACACGATTAAGCCTGCTTCTTTCATTTAAGTAGGCATATTACAGCATGGTTTGTGGGATAACGGAACCCATTCTGACAATAATATTAACGCCCAATAGAACCCTTACCGCCTAGCTTATTTACGCCCCTAACCATAATCACACCCTAACCTTAATATTGCCGCTAGAACCAACGCTAGCGCCAAACCTCCCCATAGGCGTACTCCCATCGCTAAGCTGGAGCTTCAAATTTAACCCTAAGCCTAATTCTAAACCTAGTCCTAATCCGAACGCTAACCCCAACACCTACCACAAAATAGGGTTTGAATTAGGGTTATAGTTGAGTGCCAGGGTTAGGGTCGGTACTTAGGGTCAGCAGTTGCAGTTTGTAGTTTAGAGTTGGGGTTAGGGTTGGGGGTTGGAGACTATGTTGGGGTTTACGGTTTATGGATGAGGTTAGGATTGGGATTTAGGACAACGATTAGAGTTAGGATTGCGGTTATGCTTAGGGTTAGTGTTAGGACTAAGGTCAGGTCTAGGGTTAAAATCAAGACCAATGTTAGGCTTAGTTTTGCTAACGGTATGCTCTCTTACAAAATCCCATAACGGAAATTTTGCCACATTTCTAATCTGCGAGACGTGGCTATACCGGTTTTGGTGTGCGGAGAGGCCTTTACCTGCATCGTTTCCGCATACTCTATAACTTGCCTCAGTTTACCACTCATTAGGTTTCCATATAAATGTTTCGCTCCATATATGCCAGTGAAATTGCTAATAAGCTTTCCTTTTTCGCACTGAGTCATTTGAAACTTCTTTCGTTATCTGCTACGGGGTGGATGTGCTGTCGAAATTGCCTGTCTACGTTTGTCTGCTCCGTTGTCGCCCTACCAGAGAAGCTAGTGACTCCTTTTTCGGTGTGCACCCCCCCCCCCCTCCCCCCTGCCGATATCTCTCTGTTGCTCTTACCCCTTTTCTTCCTGCGCGCGTCTGGGAAAGACATAAGTATGTTCACCGGCAAGGTTAGCAGTCAGCCACTTCTTCACCATTCATTGGTAGTTACGGTAGAACTGGTGACTCGTCTACTGGTGCTACTGTATGTTTAGGCAGGCTGTGACGCATGAGGACCGTGTACTTGCGCTCGAAACTCACTGGCTTTCGCCGAGGCCGTCTACTTTCTACTTAACGTCTACGAAGGCTTCCGTACCGGTTGGCAGTTGCCATCAGTTGTACAAGCTTTACCGTTGTTACTTTCGGCAACTGTGACTTACCGTTTTCCTGCGGGTTAGCCAGCTGATCGCCTTGCGTCTGTGCTCTTTCTTTCTCGCATAACCGTCAGACTTCTCTGTTTCTTATCACTCACCGGGGTTTGGCGGTACTGAGTCGGATATAGTGAGCTCACCCTTCTGCGTTCAGCACACTTTCTTCGGTTAATCTACCAAACGGTGTTCCCATGGCGACTGCTGACCAGACCAGCACCATAGAGCTAATTGACAGTATGCCTTAGATGTGTCTGCACATACCTGTCACTGTCTTTCCTCGCTTACTACTACCCGGCGTACTACCCTTAACCCCTGCCTGCCTTAGACGCAGCCATCCGCTTAAAGTAGTTCTGCTTTTCCCCCCACACCGGTCACCTTCCCCACAGCCATTCGTGTCTGGGCGGTTGTCGCCGACTCACTGTTTCCACTTCCGTGTGCTTATACAAGATTCGCACGCCTAGACTGCATCGTATATCCGTCGGCGTTCGTCGTATCGGCGCATCTTGATCCCATACCGATAACCCTCTTGCTCTTCCTGCAGCTTCCGCGTCCTCCTAATCCAAATCACGGCACTGACCATGCCTTTCACTCGGACGCAATGGCGTAAGTAGAACCCGTCTACTAACTCCCCGTCATTACCAACTGAAATTGCACCTAATACTACCGACAATTCTAATCTTGTTCTTAATGCTCGCACTAACGACAATCGTTGTGAAAGCGGCCAAGGGATTCAAGGACCGGCTACTTTTATTCACACTTTTGCCACTTTTGTACGCCGGTTCCCCTTGGCGGTTATACCCGCCGCGAGAATTCTTGGACGGCTGTTTGTGGTGACATTCGTCTCAAGCAGATACGCGTCCGCTATGTGCTTCAGGAGGTTTTCCCAAGCCACAGATAGGTTGTTAGTTATTTATGGCGATAAAATTGCCTGCTGAACTTTCTTCAATGGCGTGGACGACTCCACCTGCAGTCTTCTTGGCCTACAGTTGGTCAGTCTAACGGATATGGGGGCTAGGTAAAACATAGATTACGAGACTCTTCCTTCTGTGCTGCATAATCTACCATTCATTTTTTTCTTATTTGCTTTCGTCAGCAAACAGATCGGTCCCCGCGGACGCTGCAGCATGGGTCGTAGTTCTGTAGTTGGACATATTTCGTGAGGTTTCTCGGAAATTTTGAGTACGGACGGGTCCCAAACAGCCGTTCGGATTGTTTGTTCGAGGTTGTCTCTAGCGCTTTGCTTTAAAAGCCTAACCACAAGGCAGCGGTGGCAAGCAAACTTATTTAATGATGGTCCACAATGGTCTTGTTACAGTGCCGTCATCGATTCTTGTGGCTTTTTTACAAGGCTTTCAGTATGCCAGACCTCAGCCCTCCGCACCCTGATAGCACTGTCGTTGCTGGTCCGCGATTATTTATTCGTCAGACCTGGATCTGCATACCTCGTAGCCAACCTTTACTGAAGGCCGTCTCACTATCCGCCATCCGTGGACGCGCCAGGTAGCCAGCAGACACGCCAACGGACAACCCGTTTGGTATTCGGTCTGGCGTTCGACAGGGTCGTATCCTGTCGCAAATTCTGTTCAACTACGCGATTGATTGGATTTTCGGGAGGACGCCACACGATGGTGACGGTTGCGAGTTTGTACCCGGACACCGGCTGACCGATCTCGACTATGCCGATGATATTGCCTTACTCGCTTCAAGTTTTGGTGGTCTGCAGCCTATGGTGTCAGGGCTGAACGAGGTCGCCCAATCGGTCGGTTTATCCATAAACGCTGAGAAGACTAAGATGTCTTCTGGCTGCATCCCTGACCAGGAGAAGGCACCTCTCGGGATTGATGGCTGTCAACTTGAAGTAGACAGTTTTTAAATACCTCGGGGCGAGACTGCTACCGAATGGACAGAGTAAAGACGACATTGTCTCCCGAATTGATGATGCCCGACGGATTTTCTCAAGCCTTAGAAAATGCCTATGGATACGACGCGGCATCTCCATCGTCACTAATATTCGTGTGTATCGTGCATCTGTCCGTCCCGTCCCTCTCTATGGCTGTGAATGCTGGGCTGTGCGCGTGGAGGATAGGTAGGAACTGGAGGTATCTGGCCACCGCTGTTTGAGGACCATCCTGCGAGTGAAGTACACCGACTTCATCTCAAATGAAAGAGTCCGCACTTACTGCGACAACATCGCAAGGATAACCCAGGCCATCCAGGAAAGACAACTGAGGTGGTTTGGGCATGTTCTCAGTCGACCACTTCATGAGCTCAATGTTACTGCCCTCGATCCGGCACCGTTACCCCATTGGAGGCGTCAAAGAGGGGGTCAACTCAATGCCTCGCTCGACACATTTCGTCAAGACATGGAGGTGGTTCTTGGGCCTTCGGTATTCGCTCTCCGTCGATGACAAAAAGAATAAGTTGGACTGTATAGATCTGCTGTCGCGGATCGTCGCACGCTGAGAAGTACAGTTCGGGACATCATCGAGGCTGGCTAGATTACGCATGATCACAGCCGTACCAAGTACAAGTAGTACAAGTCAGCAAGTACTTCAACACTCACAAGCGTATCCATACTTTTCACACAAAAGACTTGGCTCACTTCCTACCGAACAATATAGGCTTAACTTTCACTTTCGACATTCTCAACTTCCCCCGCAAGTTCCATTGTGGCCATCATGTCGGCCATAATATCCGCTGTAACCCACGTCTTCCATCTCCCCCACCTCATTTAGAGGCCACTAATGCCGAATTTTTAAAACTTGCGCACTCCCATTTTAGGTCCTATGTGGAGTACTCAAACAAACGAATGGCATCGATGCGATTTTTTTCACATTTTTCTTTTCTAAAATCGGTTGTACGTCGCATTCGTATGCCCAATCCACGAAACCTCTATTACCACCGTTCCGACATTAAGGGAGTCCTTGCTTCAAATTTTATCGATGGGGTCACATACACTACCGTTATCACGTCGTCTTTAGTGTGATGTCAATTAATTGTCATTTATTATAATCCTTACCAGTTTTCCACTGAAATAACCTGTGCACCAAATTTCGTAAATACCAGATTTGCCATAAGTGGCAGGGGATCAATGGTCAAGGTGTGTGGCGTGTTTCTTTTTGACGAATTTATTTGTACTTTTATTTTCCAAACCGGAAGTACTGGCACTTTTTAATTGCTTTCATTACTAAAGAGCGTCCTCAGCTTTCTAACCAGTCGTATAGTGGCGTCTTACACAAATGTGACCTGACTACAGGGCGGAGTACAGCTCTCCTATTTTGTCCCGGAACTCCATTCTAGACGATCGCACAGTGACAAACATTTGAGATCTAACTGAAACCGGAGTGCAGGGACTTCCCGGCTTAATCAGCACCGACTAATTTAGGGCGGGTTAATAATCTCAAATATGTCAGGCGGTTGCGCCCGTCTTCTTTGACTTTGCCAGTAATGTTTCACCCTGCTGCTTTTGCATCTTCCAGTCGGAAAAGCCGCCGGCAAATTCTGCCACGGCAGACATCGCCACCTTAGTTGAGACGCACTTTGCGCGCTCCGAATGCGTAACCGGTGCGGGAGAGTGCGAGGCTTGTGGCCGGGAGAGTGTGCGAGAACGCCAACTCAGTCTGCGACATCTGTCACCGCACGTCCTCATCGGCCTGAATCTCTTTGCATACAACCGTGCCACACAAGCCTGTCACAAGGTGATGCGGCGTGTACGCATCAACGAGCTGCTTTCGGTCCGTGTGCCAAAAAACCCCCCACTCTCACAGCAACCATCTGTGCCTCCTCCGGACACCTCAACCACGGAGGCCGCATCCTCCTCAACCTGTCAAGTCGTCTCTCTTGACGGTGAGCCTCGCGAACAACAGCCATTGCCATCTCCAGCCCCCGATGTCGCCGACGAGAGCAGTATTCATGTGTACAAACTGCAGGGCATGATTCTGCACCATGGCCTCTCTCTGAGCTGCGGACACTACACATGCGTTGCGAAGGTGGACAGCAACTGGGTCTCCTTTGACGACTGTTCAGCGTCCTTCACTAGTCTGGATCAAGTCAATCGTCAACAGTTTGCCACCCCTTATCTCCTACTTTACAGCAAAGTGTAGTGATCCGCGCACCTCCAACCGCAGTATTTCAGTACTCGCTGTCTTCTTTGCCCTTCCACTCAATCTCCCGCACCCCATCACTCCCATAAGACAATTGATTTTGCAATTTTATTTCGTCAGTTCTTCCCTCCACTAACGTGTCTTTCCTCACACGTGCTCCTACATGACCACAGAAACTACCGCCATTTGCTTTCGCCCTGATTCGAGGTGGGCTATTCACACATTTCCACGGCGATTTCTCTCTGTGCCCTCGTCCTCCTTGCTGTTGAATTTTATTTAGACTTGTATATTTTTAACGAAAAGAAGACTGTTAATATTTGGAAACAGCAGCAACAGCAGCCAGACTAGTCAAAGTGTCCTGTCTCTGATTGCTCAATCCTAGGTGCACGCCACTACAAATATCGGCTAAGCCGGAGCACATTCGGACGGCGAGAAAGGGCTGTGATTAATTGTCTGCATGCTGGGGTCGGTCGGTCGGCCGAGGTTAAAGCGCCCCTTGAATCCAGAGGATGCCTATCGAAGGTCTGTACAGATTTAACGCTTTGATTTCGGAATGTTAACAAATGTTAGTAGTTGAGGCGGTCCCTGACATACTGCTGACGTCTGCCATATTTGAGGGTAGATGGAAACGTGTTTCGACCCAGTACAGGCACTTATTATCAAAACTAGTAGGCGGAGTTCCTATACGGAAGTAGCCGTGTTTGAGCTCTCAGCGAAAGGCGCTCGCATTCCCATAATTAACTTAATCCCCAAAATTGTGGGTAAAGTGATTGACGAAGAAGTTTCTGCGGATGGAGTCGAGAACGGTTTTTGGGAGAATTCGCACTACGGCTCTAGTCAGATCAGTTCTGCAGTATTTGCTGTTCGGAAGTACATTCTTGTATTGGCCCATTGTACCGAGAACAGATGGCATGTTCCTTGGATCGACATCACTTCTTGGGTCGCTGCGGCGGCGGCGGCGGTGGTGTTGGTGGTACGCTGGATGCAGTATCTCGGATGGACGTCGTCCCACGTCGGTCTGCTCATCCACAAGAATTGCGAAGATCGAAATATTCTGGGACCGTATCTCTGACTAGGAGAGGGCACCTCGTGACTACTTACTGTCGGTTTGAAGAGGCGGACAGGTATAAGGTACTCGGAGCCACATCTTTGCCTAACAAATGAAGTATGGAAACGCCGTCTGACTCGATGCAACTCACGGAACTTTGAGAGCTTTCGAAGGCGTCTCTTGCGCCGTCGCTACATCGTTGCCACCATGGTGCGTGTGTCTTTGGCACTCGTCCGATCGGTCCTCATATATGGCCGCAAATGTTGAAAGTGGTTAAGCAACGAAAAACCGAAGTTTTGGCTACCGTTTCCCGTGATAGATTCTTTAAGTAAAGTACTCCAAAGGGACAACCGCACATTCCGTGGCAGCATTAGTAAGATAGTTAGGATAATACAAGAAGAGGGCCGAAGCTATTCGGATACATTCCCCGTCGCCCGACTCTTGGACACCATTAAGTTGTCCTCACTCCGACACTTGCCTGGCTATAGGTGACGACATAGAAGTCATCTCAGCGCTTAGCTGGACGCACTCCGTCACGACATAGAAGTTGTTTTTAAGCCTTCCTTCGACACTGACGACGTGAGTGGTTCGAGCTATCCAGATTCGCTACCACCTGCCGTCACTCACAAAGGAGTAATATTCCCAGCGTTGGTGAGGTTAGTTACATCGGCAATAGCTAAAACGTGGCAGTTAGAAGGAAGTAAGCATTCCGGCTTTGCCGACATGACAAAAATTTCACAAGCAGGGTGGAAGGAGTGCAAATAAGACCAAGTGCGCTGGTCAGAGTGCAATAACTCCTTACATCCGACCTCCGTACGGGCACCAACATCCAGGATTGCATTTGCTGATAGGCGACAGTCGTCTCTCATTTGGTAAAAGGTGCTGTAGATACCAGTGCTCGTGGCCGTCCTCCGTGTCGCCGAAAATCGCCCTTTAGCAGCGTTGAGGAATCGGACGAATAAACTTTTCTTGTCGCTGCTCAGACACTTTTCTGCTTTTTCCTCTGAGAAAACTACCTTGGAAACTTCAGCAGTAGTCTCTGGGAGATGAGACCTAGTTCGCTAATTAAGAGACTGGTTGACCGCGATTACTGGTGGTGTTTGGTGCCAAGTTTGAAAATAGTCGATACTCTGACAGGCTGTATGTCCGGATTGAAGTATGGATGCAGCACCCAGAGGCGAAGTCTAATTCCACTGTGGCCGCCAAACTTATTGTCGGTTTCCTTGATGTGGTCTTTTAGTTGAAACACGTCGCAGCGGATGAGATGGAGGCTGACAATGGGCAATCATTTCCCTCTAGGATCTCCCTAACGCTTACTCAACACCCCACGGCAGCTTAGAACCCGTAACTTTAGGCCTTTCTGGGCTGTACGATGCTTGCTTCTTGGGGCTGAGGGCCGTGCTGCGATATTTGCTTCTCAATTCGACATCTGCAGCAACCGCAATTGGTATGTCCACTGGTATGTGAGGTCGGGTTTGGTTTAGAGAAGGTACAAGCGCATGTTTGACACGCGTCAACGGTAGTTAGTGCCTGGGCTTTTACTGGCTCCCAATTCATCTGTTTTCTGAGTTAATCTCGCTGCAGGAACGTAAAGACAGTGGGAACAAGTAGATAGGTTGATGGTGAACAGAAGTTCCTAGCATAATTCCACCTCAGTTTTACACCACAAATGCTTGGTATTAGTGGTTCTCAACGAAAATGATGGGTAAACTTTCATAGTCGAGTGACGATTCATTAAAATGCCAACTACATTGATTTTTATGTTGTACATTGTTTGGCAACAGGAAGTCCGCAAGCCTACCACTTCCGTCCTAGACGGAATCGAACTGTCAACTTCTCAAATTCTGGTCGGACTGTCTGCTGCCTGAGCTAACAGGGTGTCACCGCTGATGCTACGACATGACGGGCTGTCTTATTTAGCATTAACGAGGCGGACGGATTATGGCCTGCGATACGCTTCTGAACTGTTAAGCAGGCAAAGAACGCAAACTAATGCAGTTTTAATGAGAAAGTAATCCTACTTATGTTAAGAAAGTAGGTGTTCTGAAGAAAATTCACTGACCCTGGACCTAATTAAGTCGGCACGCCGTCGGCATCGCCATGAACAAGCATCCAGAAAAGGGCAGGTTCGGTGAATCAGAACATCATGAACTGCAAATCAGATACTGTTTTATGTCCGACCATTGATATATTTGATCCAGTATCACATGCCGCATAGGACGTTTGAGGACAAAAAAACCATATCGCCCATCATTAAAGTATTTGTGTGCAACGTGGAGAATTGACGAGACTCTAATTTTCACCAACTAGGCAATGAATAACTTGTGCTACAATAGTTTTGTAGTTCAATGGCCTAGTGGGAGAGGTCACCACACCTTGCTGGGAATTTGTTGTGACTAGTTAAGAAATAAGAACCTGCCCAACGTGTGCATCTTTCTAGTCGTTTATAGGTTTATTTCGCCACAGTCGAATAAAAAACTTAGCCATCCAGACTTTCTACCACTGTTTGTAGTGAGTTCATTAGAAAAATGCCCTCAAACAGAGAGCAGATTCAAATCTACGTCTGCTATGTGAGATTTCCAAAGTCAGACCACATATTTTACATCAATCACACGCACCCCCTACAGTCAGTCCGCCTAGTTCACTCCGCCTGACGTGTGAAGTTCCTGTCGCTATGCGTTAAACTGATGGAATTATGGCTTTAAGAGTCATAAAGGCACCTTATGCTTGTTCAGTCACAAGGCATGTGCTCTCTGATTGTAATTAAAATCGGTCCCTACGGTGTTGTCGTAATTTATTCATTACATGCGTTAATTGAACACTTTGCGGTTGTTTGAAGTAGCCCTTAAAAGTCGATTACACCGGTGTTTAGTCAAGCTGAAGATAATTAATTAATTCGGCTCTTACATTTTACAAACATCCCACGGTTCGATAAGGACTGACTGGTTTGAATCGAGATTTCGATGTCAAGTCCTCTTCCCCTTAAATGTTGTCACCATAGAAGACAGTACGCCTTCGCTCAGAGCCAATCATATTTGTTGCCAAACTGACTTATCAACAGGTGTAATCTCCATTTGGTGCTACTTTCTAGTCGAATTACCTCTTCAGGTAAATTTTGCTGTTAATGGGATTTTGTACAAACTTGTCGCAAAATAATCGGGCCTTTTAAGTTAAACAGACAAATCTAGGTCTTAAAAGCAAAGAATGTGAGGGCTAACAGAAAAGACTCGTTGAAGATAAGCTTTAGGGAGATGTACTAGACATTTTTGGCAAGAGACCAATCTAGAATATCGTCTAGATAAAGGCGATATTTGTTTACCCGAAATCTAACTACTTTAAGGAAAAACAAACCACTAGTTCTACTTTCCCACACGTTTCAAAGCGCTTTAATGGGATATCTAAACACCCAAAGCCAAATAGCAGCTCAGTCCGGCGTCTAAGATGACTTGAGCGTTCCTCAGAGCAATAAACACCACAGTGTCTAGATATGATCCCCGGAGTGTTCTACCAGCATCTCCTTCTTATCCTAATGGCTATTGTATCAAATAGTGACTAAAATTGTGCAGAGTTGGAGTGTACTGCATGGACGCAAGTATATCGCTGAATGTGTCCACAGAACGTTCAAGACGAGGCAATGGCTCGTAAAAAAGTTATGCAAAGCCGCGGAAAACACTTCCGGACTTTAACTGAGAGAGTTCTTGTTATCTTCCGCTCCTGGTGGCATTAGTTGGAATGCTGTTCCTGAACGCTTGTTCCCCTTGTAACGTAGTAAGTTGATTGCTTGACCAACTGTAACCTAATCCTCCTCTTTGTTGGTTTTTGTCATCGTAGATCGGGAACGCTCGTGACCTGCGAGTTGCATAATAAAAGTCAGTTGAAAAGGGCCCCCCTTCTGCTGTGAATTCTAGGCGGATCAGGCGTGTTTTCGAGAAGAAATCGGTCTGGAAACTGTTTTCAAGGTTTGAAGTTCACCCAGTTCCGCCTAATAACTACACAGTGAAAAAACGATCTGGCCATTTTGTCCCAACATTTGATCAAGTTTGAGTTTCGGTTAAAGGGTACCATGGATAAAAAATAAGACGACTCTGATTAGTATAGGTTCGTTGGAAAGGTTCATAAGCTAAAACTACCATTTTGTCGTTGTTGAAATAACCAGCGATGATGCTCAATGTTCATAAGCATTACAACTTCCCTTGAGTGAGTCTTTACATTGCAAAGCACAGATAAGAAGCTTGAACTACTTTTCAATAATGTTCAGTGGAGTGCATATGCAGAGGACACTCGCCGCCATTTCTCTTGACGCATCAACTCGCCCTAACAGCTTCGTTTGTCTTCCTCACCGATTCCAGATACACCGCCAAGGCGCGTAGCAACAACTAACCTACACACATACAGACATCATAGCGGGTTCACAGTTGTCGGGTAGGCTTGCCTACTCCGTGCCAAGCGATGAAGCAGATGTTAATTTTTTTTCCAGCGGTGGAGATCTGTCCCAGTAACCTTCAAAAGTTTGTTTTGAGCACGTTTCCCTGCCTCACCCTTCATAGATGCCACACCCAGGCGGGGATTTTAAGAGAGCTGAAGATTCAATAAATAAACCTGCAGACTGAAAAAACTATCGAATTTTATTTCCACTTCCACTTCATGATGTAACGTAGCCAAAATTTTCTCTAAGCAATGGCCATCACTTCGCATTACCGAATAAGATTGGCGAAAATTACTAAGGTCGGATGCCGCTTTTCCCAGAGGAGATCTTGTGGCTCCTAGGTTATGCTAAATAACACGCCCGCCAACCGAACACAGCTTGAGCCCATGTGTAAAACGTACGCATTGCCTACTCACTGGCTGCTAGATGTTTCATCATACACATTGGTGATTATAGATAGGAAGGTGGTCAAAACACGCAAAATATGCTGGGAAGCCCAGCTGTATAGCATTAAAACCATTCAGAAAACGCCGTTGTATACGTGTGTTTATCTTAAGAAAATGACGCTAGGTGCGACAGTCCTCATCGTTTGTTTTAAAGACTCGGTACTCCATCCAAACCCTCAGCAGCGAATTTTGAATTCGTTGTTGATGGGAGACGAAGCGATGTAGAGGAGTACGCCTATGAGTTGGATCGTTCACCAACTTCGCGCCAACCTTAAACAATTGCCTAGATTGAAGCGAGCTCTCTTCGCCCTCTCTCCACTCTTTTCAGTCCATGGGAGGCAGAAACCCAAGTGCTTCCTACGTAGGTCCGGTCTTGTGAAGATAAGTGAAGCATGTAACGGGCCGAATCCCCGCCATATCTACAGTACCGTAGACCTTTTGCTGACAGGGCTATCCATAGGCAAAATTCACAAGCTAAACGTAGAATTCCCACTGATGCCCCTTCAAGACACGAAAAGCGTAACTGGGGAAAATTCACCGAGTCCAGTGCCATTGAATATCGAATAAGGGAAATGATGGCAATAGCTACCAGATGCGTCATTGTACTGTGTCTGTGGAGAGGTATTCTGATAGACAACACAAAGGTTGCCGAATCAGAAGTCATGGGAGACGGAGTAGGTTGTGCAACCTCGACTACTGAGGAGGTGCGTACACAAGGCTCTGCAAGCAGTGGCCGTAAGCTGTCTCTCCAGGAGAGTTTTGTCCATGCGCCCGTTGAGATTATTAGACATCAGACCACGTGTGGGCGCGCCTTTCGCTCTGTCCCAGTTGGCGTCCCCCAGCCAATCGAAGAAGAGACAGCGTTGATCGTTTTCGAGCCCTTGTGAGGCTAGTAACAAGCCTTGCGCGCTCCCAGCAGCGGATCGATAGGGATCTTGAGACGGTCAGAAGGGTGGATAGACGAAGCGGCATAGAGCAAAGAAACGCGGACTACCACGCGTACGCCTCTATTAGTGGTTAAAATACGCAAAATTTGCGGGCGATTTTCCAAATTTCCGAGATCCATCCCTTATCAGACTTTTTGGAAAACATCGCTATATGGGTACGTCTATTTTGAAACAGTATGCTAGGTAGGGCAAACCCGATTTGCATGAGCGGGTTAGTGAAGGATTCTATGCCGTGTTTACCCTCTTGACCGTCGGCATGACATATTGCTCTGCGTAGAACTAGTCTTCTATTCCTTAATTCTTCACCTGTTTGCTTATTTCTAAAACAGTTGACTTTATTTGTGGCAGAGACTACGTAAACCGCCGAGGGTATAGTTTGTACCCGGGGCCAGAAACAGGTAACCTAAGCAGCCTGTCTAACGGGAATGGCCGTAAGAGGGGCTTTATGGCTAGGGCCATCGAACACATGAATAAGTAGATGGGGAAAGTAGAAAAGAAAATTCCACCAAAAACTTCTAATGCGCTTAGAAGGTAAACGGTAAGTAAGCGTACGAATTCGAAAAAGAGACTAAAAACGGTAGTCAGGGAAATCCCGGCAGCTGAATAAGCCGCCATCAGTTACAAAACTGAAGCTCAGGTTCTAAGGAAAATAGCAGCCAATGGTAAATGAGCGCAGGCGGTAAACGGCGTGCAAATAACGAAGATTGAGAACTACACCAGATGGCTTATTATGGACAAGAATTCACGAAATATGCAAAACGAAGAACAAGAAGGAACTCTTACAAGGTAAGCTACATGACGGCAAGAAAGAATAACGAGAAAAGTAAAGTTTATTAATGTAAACAGGCATGGCTTACAAATAGATATGTAGGTATATGTATTGAAAATAAGTCAGGGTATATAAGGTAGATTTCAGAATGGAAACAAAGTCACAACAGGAACATTGAAGCACAGAAAGTTAAGTTGTCCATGTAGGTGTAAGCATGAATATCTGTAAGTAGGAGGTAATTTCAATAATAAGGAATAGCGGTAAACCATAAATTAATTTTTTTAGACGCAGACGTACTGGAGCCGCCCCGAAATAAATTACATTAAGGGGGCCCTGTGTCAGGCCAAGCTGTCTGGCCCACATTGACGAGGTATTTTCTGTCCCAGAGATCGTGTATTCATCTTCTTTAGATACTATATCGTCTTATGGTTTGGACTAAATACCACCGGTCTAAAACAGGCATGGGGAACCTTCCTGTTCCGCATCCCGGAGGTGTACTTTGTGAAGTAGACGAGCAATGGATAAGCACGATGGAACTGGTACGCAAAAGCCAATATTCTGAGCTGCAGAAAGTTTCATATGTATAAAGTAATTTCAAAGTACTCAGCCTCTGATATCCAGTAGATTGTGGACAAAACTTTCGCACGGTGTCCAACACATCCGGGATGAAGAGCACAATAATAAGTCCATATAGAGATTCCTGCAACGCCTGGTTCCCGGGGCGGTTGTTTAAAAGCCGGTGAAACACGTAGAGCAAGCTAAAGCCATGGCCTAAGTGGTACACGGGAAAAGTGATAGAAGGACGCCTACTTAAATGAAGACAGTAGCGAGTATTGTATATTATTATGCATGCCTGGGGTAAAACCATACCCTTACGCATAAACCAATTAGAAAGACGCGGAGGAGGAGGAGGAGGAGGAGGAGGAGGAGGAGGGGGAGGAGGAGGAGGAGGAAATGCGCTTTATTTTGAAATCGTAAGTTCAAAATTTTCAGCAAAAAATTGGCTCCATTCACTGTGGGTAGTAAATAAGTTAAGAGATTATTCAACAGTCAAAGAAACGATTATTATGGGGATAGTTCAAGTCTGAGCTTCTGTATTTCTGTCTCTTCGCACGTAAGATAGCACACTAGGAATGGCAATACAGAGGCTCGATAAGCCGATGTGCGACAGGGTATAAGACGGAAGTTGCGGCGCATCGGGCGGGAAGACTTGGCAGCCATAAGATCGGAATGTAGGGGATGGGCAACGTCATCTAGAATTCGACCAGCAACTTGCTTGACCGCATTGAAGTGTCGTTGTAAGATTGTGTCAACTAAAAAAATATAAGAAACGCCAGCAACAGAAGAGAGCATGCGGAGGATTCGTTTCAAAATTAAAAGATCCTTTTTTAACAAAGCAGGGAAAACGACAGGAGAACAGTATAGGATAAGAGGAAGAATGCAGGCATCAATGAATCGCCAGACTAAGGGTTGAGGTGTGTAGTAGGAACGCAAACGACGAATGTAGTAAAGGAGTTTACGAACTTTAATAAATAGGGACTCAATATGGAGGGAAAAAGAAAGATTTGAGGACAAAGTAACGCCGAGATAACTGAAAGAGGATACCTCATTAGGAAGAATGTCAGAGGAATCAGGGTTAGGAGAGGGCCGCAGTCGAAAAATACACTGAACGGATTTTTGGTTGTTAATTAGGAGACCATTATCCTCCGACCACGCTAGGACATGGTTTAGGCCATCCTTTAGAGACCGGAGGTGTGTCTGACTTTTGAGAGGGTGTCCAACAACCACATCGTCAGCATACTCGAGTATTCGTGCATTTCTTCCGGCTGCTATGGCTTCTGTTGTCAGAACTAATCATGGGCGAGCGACACTGACACCTGATAACCGATTCATGACATGCATTCTGGAGGTATTGTTATGGCGCCTTATTCTTTTCTCTTTTTTCGGCAAAGCTAGGGTGTATGACCCCAACTAACTTGAGCTAGACTGTGGACCCCGTCATGCGTTGAATGACGGTAGAGGGGGTTTTGTGGGCGGGGAAATACGCAGGACGGAGAGCAGGTGGAATGCAAAAAGACGCAGTAAGTAAATAAATTTCTGCTAAAAGTCTTACTGTACGCTGCTATTTGGCAAAGGAAGTGAGCGCAGCAATCAAAAAACAAACAAAAGCAGTTTTCAGATATAACGGACTTCAAATAAACCGCCGATGGTAAGTTAGCATTAAGACATGAAGGCAAGGAAATCCCAGCCAATGGGAAAAGGGGATAATAAGTGGTGTTTATGGTCACAGGGATTTTTACCGTACACGTTGGAGACGCCAAATACGTGAGGTCTGCTACCCCATATTTACCTTTTTTCTTCTGAGTGGGGATGGCTACGAGGCCTGTACGCTGTCCATAAGATAAATCTAAACGGAAAATTCAACAAGGCGGTCAGCACTTTTATCTTGTCCACCTCTTCCAAACAGGAAACCAGAGACGATCTGCCACCCAGAGATGCCTTCTCAGAGGCTGTCTAGTGTCTTCTGACCGTGATTCAGGTGCGAGTACTGGAACTGCATGAGAGAAAACAACAGGAACATGTGAATGAGAATTTTCAGGCCTCAACTATTTATGTAGGAGTAAGAACTGAAAGGTCCTCTCATGACATTAAGACGCACCGGGACACCGCATTATCCCTGGACACCAGATATACTTCATTACACCCCCTGTATGCGCCAACAGTTCAACTTCTTCGACGTGCCCTCTGGTGCGAACCACATACTCCTTCACAGCACAGACACGCCGTCTCAATACACATGTAGTGGTCCAACTCCGGGCGCATTTTACGACGCGAGCGTCTCGCGGCTACTTGGACACGGCCTCGCTGAAGGCAATGGACTGCTGCCCTAATATCTCACACTCGGAGAGCCGTCCTCCCGGCGTCGGACGTGCCCTCGTCCGGCTTCTAACTCCCTCCAACCCCTTCTCCACTTATCCTTTACAGAATGCAACATTGTCCCAACTGGCGCCCCACTTCTCCTCTTCCTAATTGAAACAGGGCCTGATAGATTTAGTGGCTGCGGTCTCCCTTCAGCTCAAGCTGCTGTGATACATGGTACTGACTGGAACTGAGAGTCAGCCCTACGGTTTCCTATCTTAGTTCAGTGCCTTTCAATAAAAGCTTACGATGCACTGGCCTGCTCGTCCCGGCCTTCCTAGTATATCTGTTTTCATCATTGTAGTCCACAAAAATCACTTTTTTCGCCCTATTTGTGACTGCTTTCATTGTGACGATAAGACGCATTGCCAAACATCGGTTAGGTATGCCCCACTTCTAGTTGAATGATTGTTAGTTCCCGCTGTCCGGGCACCGAAGGTTCTCTCCTGACCTTCTTTTCCAAAACTGCACGTAGTTTTCTCACCGTCAAGTCTCCCTAGTCCTTCAGAGAAGAGTATGGCTTTTCGATTTCTACCCACGAGGAACGCAGTGACAAAATTCCATTGGATGCAGATAGGCCACCTCCGATAATTTCATTTGAATATGTCAATTTGTTGGAAGTTGAGGTACTCCAATGCTACTACTTCAGTAGGTCTTCGTCCTCTCTCGTATATGGACTTCGCTCGTCGGTCAATTGCTAGAATTAATCAGAAGACCATTGGCAACCAACACGAAGGAATCCTCTTTCACTAAGCACTAGGACCATAACTTGGACAATAACGACCTAAACAAACCGCATCACGGAGTTTTGACTAAGCTGACTTCCATCTAAGCATTCTCCCTTTTGCTACGCCTTCACTATTATCAGAGCTTTATATCTGTCAATTTTAAAATCCCCGAGCTAGCAAATCAAGAACAAGCTCTGGTTGTGGGCTTTGAAAAAAGTAATCGGTGCCGTGGTAGGCGGCCCGTGAATGTTCCATCATTTTGACGTCTTCATTTGCAAGGCGCGGTGAAATAGTTACCCTGATATGCGTGCCATCCTCATGAGTGTTCATATGATCCTGTCGCCCTCCCCTCCCCCCCCCCAACCCAACCATTGCTTTAGGTCTCGAAATTCATCTACCGTTTTGTACCACGAACAGGCCAATCGAAAAAATAACGGCCGGTGCTTTTTACAACGGTGTCTCATCAACGGCGAAACGGAAAGCTAGCCTAAGAAGTCGGAACTCTTCGTAACACTGGAAGGAGCTTCTGCTTGCTGCAAAAAAGCTAGTAATTTGTACACTGCTATGAGACTTCGGTTGGTAATTTTGCGATTGTCACAGTATGCGGAGGTTATGTCGTAGAACTACTCGTTGTGTAATTTGTCAGTGTACATTCCCACTCTGTAAACCCACGGTCCGCCCTGCATGTACTACGTTCACATTCTCCGCCGTCCATCATGACAACATCGTCCACGGTAATGCAGGCGCTCATTGATAATCTAATAGAACGTTCCATTATTCACGCGAATATTAACAGAACAGCGTTAGCAACATCGGTTCCTTCCGCCACCATGAAAATTGCCTCAGTGACGCTTAAGTATTGACGAGGAAAGATGACTCTGTAACAGAAATTTCATCCAATTTGCACTCTATTCATCCTTTTTCCTCTGAAATCATATGTGCATTCTTGACTTACCCTACAGCGAATTTTCAGTAGTTTGTCATGAAAATGATCATCTGACAAACATGGTCAGCCGAATCTGATCATTCTCCGCGACCAAACGTTCATAAAACTCCGTGTGTAAATGACACATGCACAGTTGTAGCGGACAAGGAGAAGACTCAACTCACGTAGAATTCTGCTATTCCTCCTGCCGTCTCTCTCGTTTCCATACTAATTATTCCGGAGTAGAAGTCAATCATTGTCACTGTCACATAGAACACTTATTATGCTTACTGCCATGGTGTGTAGGCGAAATGCCAGTTCGCTTTTAAATCTCGAAGGAACAGTTGTTTTGACTGCGGTAGGTTTGCCCTGCCGATTGAGTAGAAGGGACAGCCGATTAATTCCTACGCCTGAACGGTACAACTGCGACTTTGGAGGTGGGCCCCTCGCGAGTGTCTGCACGTGCACACCTGGCCTGTCCGGCGTTTGCCCATTCGGTTTTCCAACTGACCAATCAGATTCAAGACTGGATCAGACGTGTCCTACCTTGATGCATTCCCTGACGGACACCTGGGAGGCCGCTGTGCTGGCGCTGGAGACATTTTCTTCTGGCTGCCACCTCCTTCCAATACCTTCCCCAGTTGTTCTGTACGGGATATATAATCCTCCCAAGTGACGTCCATCCTCCCTTTTGATTCGGGACCTGGCCTGAAGGTGGTGTTAGCCAGGGTATCACTCACAGCTTCCGCTTCGACAATACGGACGCTTAATACGAATCCGGGGGATTCATGGTTCAACTCTGTCGCACAGCAAATATATTCTGATCTATGAGCTTCCCAGTTCATATAGTTCACCGGAAGGAAGCTCCTACTTCCTTGTTGTGTTCTGGATAACAAGTTGCTTCCCATTCGCCTTTTATATAAGCTAGAAGACGGCTAACCGAGTTCCAAACATTTGCTAGAATTTTGGAACATGATAATATGCGTAGGAAATCAGGACGCCTTCTTCAGATGTCGCAGGAAACCGGAAATTAGACAAGGATCACCAACCCGTCGACTCCTCCGAACGCGGATGGCCGAGCACACAGCAGCAGTGAGGAGGTGTGACGCCAGTTCCCAGGTCGCGGCTCATCCGACGGGACCTAGCCACGCATTCTAGTTTGACGAAACAAAAATTCTTGCTAGAGGCGACAGCTGCGTGACCCGCGAACTGCTCGAGTCGTGGTTTCCCGGTCCTCAGTCAATGAACAAGCGCAAAGACCTCCCCTCTCCATATTCCGCGCCGAGAATTAATCTAGGCACATTAGTTAGCCGCGAGGAGAGCGTGCGGATGACCACTGTTCTTGGTGTCAATGTCGGCAAGCCAAATTGCCCAGGAGTCCACAAGGATGACGAAGTCCGACAGTCAGCAACTCGACCGTGTACGATGATCGTGGGATCAGATGCTCTTGACCGACACACGACTACATAGCAAATGTATGACAGCTGCATACTTCAACACGTGGTCAATCGAGCCGTGATGCACTCGGGAGCTGCCAGCTATGCTAGGCGTATGGCGGCCTAGCAACTACATCCTATAAATACTGCAACACCTGGACAATTTACCACCCTTATTTGACTCTGTCTCTGATGATGGATTCGAGGGAGGATCCGAAACGTCAGGCTAATAAAGCTCTTGTTCCAACGATCGTGTCTCCTTCTTCGCAGTTTTCTGCATTTTCGTGATGAATAGGCTCTGCAAACCCTTGTGGATTATACATGTCTTATTTACTCAAGCAAGCACTTGCTCGGACAGTTGCGCATGAAACACCTCTAGCTATGCGGGATACTCCGTATTTAAAGAATACAATTAGGTGACGACGTGGGGAAACCGCAACCGAATGAAGCGAAGAGATGACAACTCTGCTTTTGGGCTCCTGTCTTCAACACAGTCAGTGCACTCCGCCCAGGTTTTTCGATTTTAGCCCGTGTATAAACCGAGAAATCGGATGCTTTGAAAAGTGCCTATTAATCCTCGCCTTCTGGACATCTTAAAAGACATCTTTTTGGATTGTCAATAACGCGAACTTTATAGGAAAAGGGAAAACACAAAGCGATGAGAAATAGTAAATTTACTAGATGTCTTAATGGTTCAAGTATTCATTCTACGAAGTCCATAAATTGCTCAGTAGCTTACCACGTTTTGCTAGTTTGCCACAGATGTGGGCTAGACACGGGAATGTGTACCCCTGAGCTAACTTCCAGGGCGGTGCCTATTCCTGTGTTCTAACATCATCTCAAGTCCCAAACCTGACACTGACAGTAACCCTCATAATTCTAACCCTAACACTAACCTCCGACCCTCCCGGAATTTAGAGTAGGACCGCCTGCAATCCGGGGGTCCATATTCCCATGCCCCACCCAACAGTTTTCCCTTTAAAAGGGCTTGCGCAAGGATCGTAGGCAGCGACAACTGCCCTATTCACAACTGTGTAATAAATAAAAGACATTGTGGACGGCAGCAGTGGAACAGTTGCCTGCTAATAAACTGAACTCAGAAGGGACTTCTTCCAATGATGAACGTTAAATTATCTTTTTGAGATTTCACAACAAGATTTGTCATAAGGTGAGGATTAGACATGACTGTTCCCTTAATATGGAGTCTGCATCTACACAAACACCAATACACTACCGCAAATTAAACTCGTATCAGAAAATTTATTGAGCGTTTTAATCAATTATTCCAGTCGATTGTTTTTTGGCAGACCGCATCAATCAGTCTAACACGTCAAAACCGGAAAATCAGGAGGTTGTGTGCTTTAAGAGTGCCAGTTTTTTAGGGTGAGTGACCCCACGGGGAGTGGCTTTGAGCACAACCGCAAGTGTCCCTCATCGCGTACGTTACCTTCGGTCAACACCGCCGCCTCACGCGTGTCAGCAACAGGTGATGACTCGGATCGCTGACTAGATTGCTGGCTCGACGCCCATTGACAATTTGGCCTTTTCTGATTGGCCGTCGCATACCGCTGCTTACGAAGACATCGGTTGTTAACATCAGCTGCTCAGGTCTTTCATATGGGTGTGCGAGCTCTCGGCAAAGCTGCCCTGTCATCCCTGCCTCGCAGACCGGGGATTTGAGAAGTCTTTAGCGTCGGCTACGCGTACGACAGCCATTATAGCACGCAAAACAAAATTACTTAGGCTACAAAAAATATCACGAGTTTTGGAGAGGACCTGTGAGTTCCACGTAAGATAATAAGTGTTTAACCGTCATTAAAACACTTAGACGTTGCATACAAACACAACTGTCCCGCTTGATCTCATTGGTGTAAAAAAAGGAGAAAGGCGGGCAGAAAAGTAAAAATAATCTAAGACCTCGGAAAACATTGTAGACTTTCCAAGAGCTGCCTCGGATGCTCGTTACAACAGAAAATTATTTAAGTACAAGTTGGCATGGCCAGTGTGCTGAACAGGAGATTTTCACCTTTTAGGTAGACACGTGACATAGTACAGTCCACTCGCCTGCAGGTTATGTTCAATCGTAGTATCAACAACTCCTGTCCTTGCTTTCCGTCAAATCGCCACAGCGCCTTAGGGTGCCACTGAGAGTCAGTGACTTCTTAGGCATATTAGCTGGGCTGCTGACGGTGGAATGTCGCAATGAATTTGCTTTTAGTGTCGAGCAACACTACGTAGGCTTTATAAAGGTTTGGACAACAATGCCAAACGTAAAAGTTGAGTTTTTGTGTAGTTTGCGCTGCGTTGTGTTAGCAGACAGAAGGCCGAAATCATAATAAGTGGTTTAGTGGGGTTTAACTACAGTCAAAATCCAAAGCAATATCTCCTAAAGTGTGAAGGCAATCATAAAAAGAGCCAGGTCACAATGGCGCAGTGACTCCCAACGCTTTGAAGACAGGATCAAAGCATTTCCTTAATATGACAGTTTGACCGTCGATGTCCACCGTATGAGCCCAGCAGGGTGGGCGCAGACATGGTGATTTGGTGGTAGCACTCCCCCACCTGTGGCCCGGTGTCATGACAGAGTCAAGACGACCGGAGGAGGGCGAGGACGCTGGTGACTGATACGACGTGAATCCGTGCATAGGCGTGCCACCACAACGCTAGCCATTGATATAGAACAGAATACGCTTCCAGGGTAAAAAGAGATTGACAGCCTGCAACATTTCGGTACCAGTTGACTAGGATGGAAATACTTTCGTTAATATATAACAGGTATGTAGGGGATGAGGCCATCCACCGTTTAAAGCTGCTTTGCGTGTCCCCAAAATGCTAACAGAAAAGATAGGAGGGGAGACCGTTGTCATGTAATGCTAGCCCCTTTAAAGCCTGTGTATTTGGAACGCATTTATTACTCCGCAGGCATCCGATGTTGATCCAGTTTTCTTTTAAACGCCAACGCCTTCACACCTCTGTCTGGCTCATCGTCAGCCCTCGTGCTTTTTCATGTATGCACTTATGTGGGTTGACGTCACAGACATGGGTGGGCTGGTGGATCGATAATCAGATGCAGGCCAGCGAGCCACAATCCGGAGGAGTGTCAACTGGGGTAGCGCTCCGTAAATCCTTCTGCCGCCGTGCGAAAACAACCGAAACCCTCCTCCGTCATCGGCTTTTGGGGTAGGTTGCAGGACTAACCATCTGACGGCAACAGAGTCAACTGTGAGCCTGGGGAAACTCCCACATAATTCTTTTGTGTACTCTGCTTCAACAAAATACATCGAACATTATATCGGAAAACACTTTTTAGGCCTCAGTCATGGATAAAGAAATGAGAAGCGGAATCCTGCAATCGTTTCATTGGCCTGAATACGATGGATACATACGACACGACGCAACGAAGTACAGGATAACTGGAGAGTATTATTCTAGCCAAATTTTGGTTGTTCGCAGCTGTAGTCCTGAGGACCAAGTTAATTCCTTTACCAAATGATATAGGGGTGAGAATTTAAAAACCTTGATTTGGTTAGCCAGAATTTTGTCTGGAGACCTTTATGCAGAAACACTGGAAGCTGCCCCATAGCCGTTACACTCGTCAAAAAACGGAAGGACTCTAGAGTGCAATCGTATCCTGCCCTAGAGATTGTTTCCCGGGCGAACTTCTCGTGTTTATGTAACCTGCCTCAAAGTGCACTCTGTGATCTTCCGCAAACTTTTAAGATGGATTTAAAAGTAGTAGCTCCGAAAAACATTTGTCGGCGCTTCCGTTTTGTGCCATTAAGAATGGGGCTTTCGGGCGTTCTAGTGAAGGAATAAGCCGCAGTTCATTAAATTCAGTAGTAACCATGAGAGAGCGACTGGTATTTTCGTTGCATTTGCCAGTGTTTCTACAGTACATAGAACAAAGAAAAGTGCGTATTGAATTTCGAACGGCAGTCTTCCTCCAAACATCCTAGTTGAATTCTACAAATGTGACCTACAGTCAGTGACCGATCTCATAAAGGGCCAACAGAAATTATGGAATGCGGTTTCGATTAGGAAAGACTACTTAAGTGTGGTTACAATATTGATTATCATGCGACATATCCTATGATATTTCAGACGCAGCAGAATGCCGGCCTTTGAATGAACTTTTTCCGGCCGCCTGGAAAATCGGCACTCGGTAAAGAAACTACTTATATGTTGTATGTATTTTTCTATTGATTTTACTGCCCTCATATAGTCAAATATGTTCTATAGAAAACACGCACGAAGTATTCTTTGTTGTATGTAGTTGGTAGAAAATCATATATTCTTCAACTTTTCAACTGTAAGAAATGATGTCTTTCAATTTTAAAAAGATTGGCCAAGATCCTATTTCGTCGTCGTACCTGTTAGGGATTAGTATTATGGTTATTGGTTGGGGGTTAACGGGTAGGAGTTGGGATTAGAGGTTAGGGTTGCGGGTTAGGGTTAGGGTTAGGAGTCAGGCTGAGGCTTGTCTACTGCGGGCACGGCTACGAAATATGATCCGACCACAGTTCGTGATTATGGAATGCTTTAAGACATTAAGAAGTCTTCTTAAAAGCATCGTATCTGTACGTTTATTAAGATTCTTTATGAAATATAAAACGTTGTCCACATCCATGGCAATTTTTTGGAGATCTATAGGCTACCTTTTTAATGTCATAGTGGAATGTATAAATTTCCTTACGCGGAAAGTGTGCGGCTTTTGGACTGGAAACTTTAAACGCACTTTAAGTGTAAAATTTGAATAAAACGCATTTTTCTTCCAGAGATAGTTATATGCGGGTGGCTGGCTTGGTGGCTTCGGCGCATCGCAACTGAGGGACCTGAAAGAAGTTCTTCTGTGCGTGCCGGATCGGTTTCCGTAACCTGATTGCAGCCGCCTCTGCCGTAGTCGGCAGACGCTGTCCAATTGTTTCGGATAGCTTGACGGAACCCTGTAAATCACTCGGAAGGCCTCTCTGGCATCTACACGATGGTCTGTGTCTACTATGTGCGTGAAGATAGGGCTGTTAACGTTATTTATTTTACTCCATCCTGACAGTGCTGGAAGATGTTCGCTTGTTCGTTTGGACAGACGTCGACTCGGGCGACCAATATATTCTGTCCCACAGGAGTGGGTGAAGGAGTAAATACAAGAAAAAGGTCTGGGCTGGTAGTTGGTCCTTGTTCCCTCCGTATAGGATGGGACTAGTGGAGAACAGCACAAGGGCGTCAGCTGCTGGAAAGGTAAAGGATACAGCTAGAGTTAGGCGTCGTCTTAGAAGTTCACTCGAGGCGTCCTCTTGAAATGGGACGCTGATGAAAAGCTTTCCCTTTCCTGACGTCAGCGTCGGGAATTTTGATGGTCTTTCGGCCATGTTCTTAGCAAGGAATAGACCAGGGTACTCTTCCTCGTGAAAGAGGCTTTCGACAGTCGTAAGCTCTCTCTCTCTCTCTCAATGCTATCAACCGAGTAACCCTTTGTGTTAAACAGAGGACTGAATTACTTTTCAGGCTTAGCGATACGCAACTCTCAAAATTGGTGTATTGCCCAGATCACGTCTTCTAACGGTAGACGCTACGCCGAGTACTGTCGTCAGCCTTTACCCGGAAGCAGGTGAGGAAGGAGAAGGGAATCAGACTGTTCTTCTTCCAGCGTAAATGTAATTGATGAGTGTGTCTGATTCATATCATTCAGTAGAACTGACAAATCGCTTTGTCCACCATGCACTCCACAGCAGGGTGACAGCAGGGACGGGGACTGAAGGGTGATGTAGGTTAAAGTTATAGTAGACTTGCGCTATATCTGCCACACTCCCTCCTTCCCCACCTGCATCCGGTGTCAAGACAGTCAAGAAGACCAGAGGCGAAGGGGGGGCGCAGGCAGCTGGCCATCGCCCTCCAAAGGCTGGGTAACCAGTCCGTCGTCGACTGAGAGGCACCACCCATAGAATACACACACTCCTTGCATGAGTGGGAGTGCCAGAGGTCACGTTAAGAGGGAACCGTTGCAACCTGAATCTCAGCTCATCGGTTCACCACTCCACAAAAAACACACACAACCGGGCTGGATGCGTAAACTGAGCTGAGGTGTCAGTCAGCAACTTCCGGGCCACGGCCCTCGACGCATCGTGAGGGATACCGCTGCCAGCAATGTAGCACCCGCGTTAATCGTCTCATATTCAGGGGTCGTTTCACCAGATCCTTCGAACGACTTTGCTGTAGGACCTATGAGGAAGGGTTCCCCGATCGACTAGTTATGGTGATTGATAGACGTATTTACACAATCGTCCAGGCAGCCAGTCGTCAGATAGCGATGGAAATGAGAATAGATTATTGAGAGATATAGACAAAGCAAACAGTACGCAACAGGATTACAAACGTAGATAATATCCACGACGAGAGCCAATCACGGAGGGGTCTCTCGGACAATACTTGAGCGAACCACGCGGGATTTAGAGCCGGAAGCCGCTACGGGGATGAGACACTGCCCTCAACAGTCGACTCTGAAATCACAAAAAAACGCTCTGCCGCTGTTCTCCCTCTTTTTGGGAGTCACTTTAGTTAAACAAAAAGAGAATCAGGTCGCCTTTGCCCATCACCCAATCATAGATCACACATGCAGCAGATGAGCCACATGGAGAGGGAGCCGAGAAGCACACTTCCCACTTAAGTGAGAGTTGTCAATTGAGTGCTTGCTTTCTGTGGCGACGGGTGAGGTCTATGTGTGGTGCAGGTGCTGGTGGGCAGAAGTGTGATGGTGTGTTGGAGCCGGTGGCTGTTTACCGCAAGTTTTCGTGAATACGCATGCGACCCAATAGGCCCATGCGGTGGCTGGATGTGCGGGGGGCAGTGTGGGTAATTGAGACGAATGCGTCGAGTGTATGTGGATGCTCCAGTTACTGGTTCGCCAGTCTCTGTATGATGGATTCGACCGACCAGGCGGTGTAGGAGGTGAATGTGCCATCACGATGAGGACAAATTGGGACCGAGTCCACATCTATGGAGGTGGGAGTGATGGCAACACTAAACAAAAGTCGTGACACAGTAGGATTTGACAGCCGCCTGGAATGACTAAACAGCCACGACCAGCTTGTCGACGGAGTACTTTTCCAAACAATTTTTAGATCACCTCATATACTTCATCCCCCCACGGCGGGACAAGCATTGCTTACACGGGGTCGAGGTATCGTTGTTAGCGGGGAACAGTTTTCTATTCTTTACATCCTCAGGAATATCAGGAAGTTCCCTTCCTAGAGTATTCCTTACTCAACACATCCCCAAGCGTATCCACTTGAAAGATTTCACAAAGATACGATAGACAATTTCGTGATTCAAGAGTTTATGAAATGTGAATATTGCTAACAAACGTAAGACGGTGACAGAAATGGTGTTGAATTATACTAGATTAAATAACAAGTGGTAAAGCTTGATAAAAAAAACATTGGGACAGGTAATCGACTGCATGGCTAGCTACCAAAAGATAGGATCGACGTTGAAAAAGGATAGTTCGGAGATTATTTCGCAGCCGTACCTGCAGTGGACAAGTCCCGGCATAACCCCTAACTCCTAACTTTAACCTCTAACTCCGAACTCCAAACCCCAACCCCTAACCTTAACCGCCGACCCTGACCCCTAAGCACAACCCCTAACCCTGACCTCTAACCCCTTCCCCCTAACCCTACCCCTTAAGAGGTACGGCTACGAAATAGGATCTTGCCAAAGGAGTGCAATGAGAAGATATAAAAACGAACAAAACTTATAGGTTGTGCAGGTCAGCTGGTTTCAGCAGATTCGTACGAATCGTTCGGTCCTGCGTTCCTTAAGAGGAATCATCATTTGTTGTATAAAAAAGAACGGGCCCTTCTGTTCTGCTTAACTGTTACACTCGTTCAAGACGCTGCTACGCATTTCCCCCGGTCACTCAAGATCTCTCTCTCAGGGCACCGGATGTGCTTTATCGTTCAGTTGCCAACGTATTCCAACTGGTTCTCCAGTCTTTCTGCACAAAATACAGTATCCTCTCAACTGACGTCCAACGCCTCTGTCTATTCGGGACCGGCATTGAAGGTTGTAGAGAGCAGTATCTGCTTACGGCTTAAGCCGCGACAATCGGACGGCCGTGGGATCGGCAGCTGCAACAACGGTTACCTTCTTCTTCTTCTTCTTCTTCTTCTTCTTCTTCTTCTTCCTCTTCCTCTTCTTCTTCTTCTTCTTCTTCCTGGACTTCGCGGAACCCAATCTTCTGACGAATACATACTTCCATCTTCTAATAAGGGGAAAGGGTGACGTGGATGCACCCTCGTCCGCACCATTCGTATCTGCTGGACTGAGTCATACTTCAGAGGCGTCACCGGCGTGATTTGCTCGTGAATAAGACGGTGTGTGGTGGATGCTGAGTCCCCATGGTCTCGACGGCTCCAATAACGATGGCTTGTTCCTTCTACGAACCTGTGCAGAACACCGCCTCCTCCTGACCAACACCTTTTTACGCCTGCCAGGACGGAAGAAAGCCACCTGGATGCACTCTTGGCACTTGCTGGACTATGTCGTCGTCCGGAGGTGAGACCAGCGAGACATGCTGGTGACAAAGGCGATCCCCGTTGCCGACGGGTGAACCGACCATCGCCTCGTCATCTCCAAGATGCGAATTCGTCTACAGCCTCACGACAATCGGTGACCTCAAGGTAAGCGACCCCCAGGTAAGCTGAATACTGCTTTGTTGTCTTTGCCTGTTCACCATCTCCATTTCAGCAATGAACTAACTCAACGACTAGCCTTTCAGTCGTCGTCGTCGTCGTCGCCGTCGCCGCTGATGAGAGCGCCTCCGCTGAGAACCGATGGTGTCAAATAAGGGACACAGTTCAGTCTACGGCGCTGGCTGTCCTCGGTCGCGCACGACGTCAACACCAAGACTGATTCGACGAAATCGACGCCGCCATCAGCAACCTTATCACCCAAAAGAACAGCTTGCACAAAGCCTACTTCACTCGCCCCACCGACGACAATAAAGCCGCCATCTACCGCAGTTGCCGACTTGTGCAGCAGCAGCTGCGCGAGATGCAGGACGCCTGGACTGCTCGCAAGGCAGGGGAGATCTAAGGGTACGCGGACGGCAACGAATGGAAGAACTTCTTCTCCGCGACCAAGGCTGTCTACGGTCAGCTAACCAAAGGTACTGCACCTCTTCACAGCGCCGACGACAATACCCTACTCACCGAGAAGACGCAACTTCTACAGCGATGGACCGAGCAATTCAGAGACGTCCTCGACTGTCCCTCCACCATCTCCGATGCCGCAATTGCCCGTTCGCCTCAAGTGGAGACCAACGCCGACCTCGACATCCACCCTCTCTCTACGAAATCATCATGGCCGTGCAGCAGCTCTCCAACTGGAAAGCGCCCGGATCGGACGCGATCCCTGCCGAGATCTACAAGCACGGTCGCTCCCAACTAATTGATCACCTGACAGTACCCTTCTAGGAAATGTGGTATAAAGGAGAAGTCCTGTAGGATTTCAAATACGTCCCAATTGTGCATCACTATAAGCTGAAGGGAAACCGCCAACTCTATAACAGCAAGTGAGGCATCTTCTTGTTGAACCTTACCGAGAAAATCACTGCTCGCATCCTTATCAACCGTCTGAACAATCATTTAGAACAAGGCCTGCTGCCGGAAAGCTAATAAGGCTTCCGCCGTCATCGTGGGACCACGGACAGGATCTTGGCCGCCCGTCACTTACAGGAGAAGTGTCAGGAGATGCGGACCCACCTGTACTCTACCTTCGTGGATCTGATGAAAGCCTTCGACACAGTGAATCCTGACGAATTGTGGAAAATTATGCAGAAATTCGGCTATTCCGAACGATTTACCCAGATGGTGCGTCAGCTCCACGGCGGCATGATGGCGCGCGTCACAGACATTGAAACTGTTTCAGAAGCATTCGCACTGGCCAATGGAATGAAGCAGGACTGAGTCCACGCGCCTAACCTCCTCAGTCTTGTGTTCTACCTTGACGAACGCCCACCTCCTCAATCAGCGGCGGCTGCACTTCCAGTCGTGTGTATCCACAGCCACGAAATTTTGCTTGCAGATGACTGCGCCCTCAACGCCACCTCCGAAGGGGACATGCAGAGGAGCGTGGGCCTCTTCGCCGACGCCTGCGAGGAATTCGGCCTGATCATAAACACACAGAAGACGGTAGTTATGCATCAAACGCCACCCCACGCTGCCTACACGTCGCTTCACATCAACTTGAATGGCACCAAACTGCAGGTGGTGGACAACGTCACGTATCTGGGCAGCACCAAAATCGACGACAAAGTTGCCCGCCGGATCTCAAAAGCCAGCCAAGCCTTTGGCCGTCTGCAAAGCACAATCTGGAATCGCTACGGTCTTCATCTCAACACCAAACTGAAAATGTACAAAGCAGTCACCCTGCCGACGCTGCTGTATGAGGAGGAGACCTGGACGGTGTACAAGAAGCAGGCGCGCAGACTCAATCATTTCCACCTCAGCTGTCTTCGATGGATACTGAAGCTGAGTTGACAGAACCGGATCCCCGACACTGACGTACTGGAGTGGACGGGAATCCTTAGCATCTATGACAGGCTGAGACAGCTGCAACTATGCTGGAGATGCCATCTCATGCGGATGAATGATGAGCGGCTATCCGGACGACTCTTCGACGGAGATGTTGCGACGGGTTCACGCCGACAAGGAGGTGAAGTCCGTCGCCTCAAGGACACTCTGAAGACATCCTTGAAGCACCTGCAGATCAACCCGGCCAACTGGGAAGACCTCGCCCGGACCGACGGACCTGCAGGAGAACAGTGAAGACAGGCGCAGCGATCTATGAAACCAACCGCATCATTGTCTCCAAAGTCAAACACGAGACACGCAAATGTAAACTGTTGCCACCGCCGCCGCCTAGCAGCGCCACCGCCCAGCCATCTCCGGCGTGCCCACGATGTCAACGGGCATTTCGGACGCTAA